AGAAAAACTGAATTTTTGAACGAAGTGAAAACGGAGAGAAAGGTAACAAATTATGAAAAAATCTAAAAGTTATTACTCTTTAATACCGTTGCGGGGATATAGCTCAATGGTAGAGCATTCGAATGCAGATCGAGAGGTCCTTGGTTCGAATCCGAGTGTCCCCTAACAAATTGAAGCTCGAAATTATTATTTATGCAAATCTATCAAATTTGGACAAACACATTGAATTCTAAAAAAAAAAAACTGAAATGTTTTAAGACTGCTGTTAGATAATACAAAATTGCAACTTCCACTAACGGGTCTGGCTCAGTGGTGAAGAATGCGAGTGAGGTTTAAGAGATACGCTGATTGAATCCGTGTGTACCTTATCACCGCAAAGTGCAACACAAACGCAAGATATAAATCCAAACAATTCGATCGAACTTTCCTGATTTCGAAATTACCAAACTTGGACAAAAAATGAATTCATGAAAGAAATGAAAACGAAGAAAAAAAGAAACTGTTGTCACTTTTGTTCTACATTTATTAATCCTAACCAACATTACATTAGTATAGCTCACTGGCAGCGAATTCAACAGAAGACCGAGAGGTCAGCGGAGCGAAATCGTGTGTAACTTATCACCTGAAACTGAAGCACGGGCGCAAGCTTCAAAACAAAAAGCTTCAAGCAAAATTTTTTAATTTGGAAAGTATTAAATTTGGACAGAAAAACTGAATTTTTGAACGAAGTGAAAACGAAGAGAAAGGTAACAAATTATGAAAAAATCTAAAAGTTATTACTCATTAATACCGTTGCGGGGATATAGTTCAGTGGTAGAGCATTCGACTGCAGATCGAGAGGTCCTTGGTTCGAATACGAGTGTCCCCTAACTTATTGCAGATCGAACTTCTTTTTTATACAAATCTAGCGAACTTGGACAAACACCTTGAAGTCTTGAAAAAAAGAAACTGAAAGGTTTTAAGACTGCTGTTAGATAAAACAAAATTGCAACTTCCACGAACGGGTCTGGCTCAGTGGTGAAGAATGCGAGTGCAGTTTAAAAGATTCGCTGATTGAATCCGTGCGTACCTTATCACCGCAAAGTGCAACAAAAACGCGAGACATAAATCTAAAAAATTCGATCGAGATTTTTTGTTTTCGAAAGTACCAAACTTGGACAAAAAAATGTTTTCATGAAAAAAATGAAAACGAAGAAAAAGGAAACTGTTGTCACTTTTCTTCGACATTGATTAATCCTAACCAACATTACAATAGTATAGCTCACTGGCAGCGAATTCAACAGAAGACCGAGAGGTCAGCGGAAAAAATCGTGTGTAACTTATCACCTGAAACTGAAGCACGGACGCAAGCTTCAAAACAAAAAGCTTCAATCAAATTTTTTTAACTTGGAAAGTATTAAATTTGGACAGAAAAACTGAATTTTTGAACGAAGTGAAAACGAAGAGAACGGGAACAATTTATGAAAAAAATCTAAAAGTTATTACTCTTTAATACCGTTGCGGGGATATAGCTCAGTGGTAGAGCATTCGACTGCAGATCGAGAGGTCCTTGGTTCGAATCCGAGTGTCCCCAAACAAATTGAAGCTCGAACTTAGTAATTATGCAAATCTATCAAATTTGGACAAACACCTTGAATTCTAATAAAAAAGAAACTGAAATGTTTTAACACTGCTGTTAGATAATACAAAATTGCAACTTCCACGAACGGGTCTGGCTCAGTGGTGAAGAATGCGAGTGAGGTTTAAGAGATACGCTGACTGAATCCGTGTGTACCTTATCACCGCAAAATGCAACACAAACGCAAGATATAAATCTAAACAATTCGATCGAACTTTTCTGATTTCGAAATTACCAAACTTGGACAAAAATTGAATACATGAAAGAAATGAAAACGAAGAAAAAAGAAACTGTTGTCACTTTTGTTTAACATTTTTTAATCCTAAGCAACATTAGTATATCTCACTGGCAGAGAATTCAACAGCAGATCGAGAGGTCAGCGGAGCAAAATCGTGTAGAACTTATCATCTGAAACTGAAGCACGGACGCAAGCTTCAAACAAAAAGCTTCAATCAAACTTTTTTGATTTTGAAAGTTTCAAATTTGGGTAGAAAAACTGAATGGTTGAATGAATTGAAAAGGAAGAGAACGGGAACAATTTTTGAAAAAAATCTAGAAGTTAATACTCATTAATACCGTTGCGGGGATATAGCTCAGTGGTAGAGCATTTGACTGCAGATCGAGATATCCTTGTTTCGAATCCGAGTGTCCCCTAACAAATTGAAGCTCGAACTTCGTATTTAGGCAAATCTATCAAATTTGAACAAACACCTTGAATTCTAAAAAGAAAGAAACTGAAAAGTTTTAAGACTGCTGTTAGATAATACAAAATTGCAACTTCCACGAACGGGTCTGGCTCAGTGGTGAAGAATTCGAGTGCAGTTTAGGAGGTACGCTGATTGAATCCGTGCGTACCTTATCACCGCAAAGTGCAACAAAAACGCAAGACATAAATCTAAACAGTTCGATCGAGATTTTTTGTTTTCGAAAGTACCAAACTTGGACAAAATAATATTTTCATGAAAAAAATGAAAACGAAGAAAAAGGAAACTGTTGTCACTTTTCTTCGACATTGATTAATCCTAACCAACATTACAATAGTATAGCTCACTGGCAGCGAATTCAACAGAAGACCGAGAGGTCAGCGGAAAAAATCGTGTGTAACTTATCACCTGAAACTGAAGCACGGACGCAAGCTTCAAAACAAAAAGCTTCAATCAAATTTTTTTAATTTGGAAAGTATTAAATTTGGACAGAAAAACTGAATTTTGAACGAAGTGAAAACGAAGAGAACGGGAACAATTTATGAAAAAAATCTAAAAGTTATTACTCTTTAATGCCGTTGCGGGGATATAGCTCAGTGGTAGAGCATTTGACTGCAGATCGAGAGGTCCTTGTTTCGAATCCGAGTGTCCCCTAACAAATTGAAGCTCGAACTTCGTATTTCTGCAAATCTATCAAATTTGAACAAAGACCTTGAATTCTAAAAAGAAAGAAACTGAAAAGTTTTAAGACTGCTGTTAGATAATACAAAATTGCAACTTCCACGAACGGGTCTGGCTCAGTGGTGAAGAATTCGAGTGCAGTTTAAGAGGTACGCTGATTGAATCCGTGCGTACCTTATCACCGCAAAGTGCAACAAAAACGCAAGACATAAATCTAAACAGTTCGATCGAGATTTTTTGTTTTCGAAAGTACCAAACTTGGACAAAAAAATGTTTTCATGAAAAAAATGAAAACGAAGAAAAAGGAAACTGTTGTCACTTTTCTTCGACATTGATTAATCCTAACCAACATTACAATAGTATAGCTCACTGGCAGCGAATTCAACAGAAGACCGAGAGGTCAGCGGAAAAAATCGTGTGTAACTTATCACCTGAAACTGAAGCACGGACGCAAGCTTCAAAACAAAAAGCTTCAATCAAATTTTTTTAATTTGGAAAGTATTAAATTTGGACAGAAAAACTGAATTTTGAACGAAGTGAAAACGAAGAGAACGGGAACAATTTATGAAAAAAATCTAAAAGTTATTACTCTTTAATACCGTTGCGGGGATATAGCTCAGTGGTAGAGCATTCGACTGCAGATCGAGAGGTCCTTGGTTCGAATCCGAGTGTCCCCTAACAAATTGAAGCTCGAACTTTTTATATATGCAAATCTATCAAATTTGGACAAACACCTTGAATTCTAATAAAAAAGAAACTGAAATGTTTTAAGACTGCTGTTAGATAATACAAAATTGCAACTTCCACGAACGGGTCTGGCTCAGTGGTGAAGAATGCGAGTGAGGTTTAAGAGATACGCTGATTGAATCCGTGTGTACCTTATCACCGCAAAGTGCAACACAAACGCAAGATATAAATCTAAACAATTCGATCGAACTTTTCTGATTTCGAAATTACCAAACTTGGACAAAAATTGAATAAATGAAAGAAATGAAAACGAAGAAAAAAGAAACTGTTGTCACTTTTGTTTAACATTTTTTAATCCTAAGCAACATTAATATATCTCACTGGCAGAGAATTCAACAGCAGATCGAGAGGTCAGCGGAGCAAAATCGTGTAGAACTTATCATCTGAAACTGAAGCACGGACACAAGCTTCAAACAGAAAGCTTCAATCAAACTTTTTTGATTTTGAATGTTTCAAATTTGGGTAGAAAAACTGAATGGTTGAATGAATTGAAAACGAAGAGAACGGGAACAATTTATGAAAAAAATCTAAAAGTTAATACTCATTAAAACCGTTGCGGGGATATAGCTCAGTGGTAGAGCATTTGACTGGAGGTCCTTGTTTCGAATCCGAGTGTCCCCTAACAAATTGAAGCTCGAACTTCGTATTTATGCAAATCTATCAAATTTGGACAAACACCTTGAATTCTAAAAAGAAAGAAACTGAAAAGTTTTAAGACTGCTGTTAGATAATACAAAATTGCAACTTCCACGAACGGGTCTGGCTCAGTGGTGAAGAATTCGAGTGCAGTTTGAGAGGTACGCTGATTGAATCCGTGCGTACCTTATCACCGCAAAGTGCAACAAAAACGCAAGACATAAATCTAAACAGTTCGATCGAGATTTTTTGATTTCGAAAGTAACAAACTTGGCCAAAAAAATGTTTTCATGAAAAAAAAGAAAACGAAGAAAAAGGAAACTGTTGTCACTTTTCTTCGACATTGATTAATCCTAACCAACATTACAATAGTATAGCTCACTGGCAGCGAATTCAACAGAAGACCGAGAGGTCAGTGGAAAAAATCGTGTGTAACTTATCACCTGAAACTGAAGCACGGACGCAAGCTTCAAAACAAAAAGCTTCAAGCAAATTTTTTTAACTTGGAAAGTATTATATTTGGACAGAAAAACTGAATTTTTGAACGAAGTGAAACCGAAGAGAAAGGTAACAATTAATGAAAAAATCTAAAAGTTATTACTCATAAATGCCGTTGCGGGGATATAGCTCAGTGGTAGAGCATTCGACTGCAGATCGAGAGGTCCTTGGTTCGAATCCGAGTGACTTATTGCAGATCGAACTTCTTTTTTATACAAATCTATCGAACTTGGACAAACACCTTGAAGTCTTGAAAAAAAGAAACTGAAAGGTTTTAAGACTGCTGTTAGATAAAACAAAATTGCAACTTCAACGAACGGGTTCGGCTCAGTGGTGAAGAAAGCGAGTGCAGTTTAAGAGATTCGCTGATTGAATCCGTGCGTACCTTATCACCGCAATGTGCAACAAAAACGCAAGATATAAATCTAAACAATTCGATCGAACTTTTCTGATTTCGAAATTATCAAACTTGGACAAAAAACTGAATTCATGAAAGAAATGAAAACGAAGAAAAAAGAAACTGTTGTCACTTTTGTTCAACATTTATTAATCCTAACCAACATTAGTATAGCTCACTGGCAGAGAATTCAACAGCAGATCGAGAGGTCAGCGGAGCAAAACCGTGTATAAATTATCACCTGAAACTGAAGCACGGACGCAAGCTTCAAAACAAAAAGCTTCAATCAATTTTTTTTTATTTTGAAAGTTTCTAATTTGGGTAGAAAAACTGAATTGTTGAATGAAATGAAAACAAAGAGAACGGGAACATTTTATGAAAAAAAATCTAAAATTTATTACTCATTAATACCGTTGCGGGGATATAGCTCAGTGGTAGAGCATTCCACTGCAGATCGAGAGGTCCTTGGTTCGAATCCGAGTGTCCCCTAACAAATTAGAGCTCGAACTTATTATTTATGCAAATCTATCAAATTTGGACAAATACCATGAATTCTAGAAAAAAGAAATTGAAACGTTTTTAGACTGCTGTTAGACAATACGAAATTGCAACTTCCACGAACGGGTCTGGCTCAGTGGTGAAGAATGCGAGTGCAGTTCAAGAGATTCACTGATTGAATCCGTGCGTACCTTATCACCGCAAAGTGCAACAAAAACGCAAGATATAAATCTAAACAATTCGATCGAACTTTTCTGATTCCAAAATTACCAAACTTGGACAAAAAACTGAATTCATGAAAGAAATGAAGTCGGAAGAAAAAAGAAACTGTTGTCACTTTTGTTCAACATTTATTAATCCTTATCAACATTAGTATAGCTCACTGGCAGAGAATTCAACAGCAGATTGAGAGGTCAGCGGAGCAAAACCGTGTATAACTTATCACCTGAAACTGAAGCACGGACGCAAGCTTCAAAACAAAAAGCTTCAATCAATTTTTTTTTATTTTGAAAGTTTCAAATTTGGGTAGAAAAACTGAATTGTTGAATGAAATGAAAACGAAGAGAACGGGAACAATTTATAAAAAAAAATATAAAAGTTATTACTCATTGATACCGTTGCGGGGATATAGCTCAGTGGTAGAGCATTCGACTGCAGATCGAGAAGTCCTTGGATCGAATCCGAGTGTCCCCTAACCAATTGAAGCTCGAACTTATTATTTATTCAAATCTATCAAATTTGGACAAACACCTTGAATTCTAGAAAAAAAAGAAACTGAAACGTTTTTGGACAGCTGTTAGATAATACAAAATTGCAACTTCCACGAACGGGATCTGGCTCAGTGGTAAAAAATGCGAGTGCAGTTTAAGAGATACGCTGATTGAATCCGTGTGTACCTTTTCACCGCAAAGTGCAACACAAACGCAAGATATATATCTAAATATTTCGATTGAACTTTTCTGATTTCGAAATTACATAACTTGGACAAAAAAATGAATACATGAAAAAAATGAAAACGAAGAAAAAAGAAACTGTTGTCACTTTTGTTCAACATTTATTAATCCTAACCAACATTAGTATAGCTCACTGGCAGCGAATTCAACAGCAGATCGAGAGGTCAGCGGAGCAAAACCGTGTATAAATTATCACCTGAAACTGAAGCACGGACGCAAGCTTCAAAACAAAAAGCTTCAATCAATTTTTTTTTATTTTGAAAGTTTCAAATTTGGGTAGAAAAACTGAATTGTTGAATGAAATGAAAACGAAGAGAACGGGAACATTTTATGAAAAAAAATCTAAAAATTATTACTCATTATTACCGCTGCGGGGATATAGCTCAGTGGTAGAGCATTCGACTGCAGATCGAGAGGTCCTTGGTTCGAATCCGAGTGTCCCCTAACAAATTAAAGCTCGAACAAATTATTTATGCAAATCTATCAAATTTGGACAAATACCATGAATTCTAGAAAAAAGAAATTGAAACGTTTTTAGACTGCTGTTAGACAATACAAAATTGCAACTTCCACGAACGGGTCTGGCTCAGTGGTGAAGAATGCGAGTGCAGTTCAAGAGATTCACTGATTGAATCCGTGCGTACCTTATCACCGCAAAGTGCAACAAAAACGCAAGATATAAATCTAAACAATTCGATCGAACTTTTCTGATTCCAAAATTACCAAACTTGGACAAAAAACTGAATTCATGAAAGAAATGAAGTCGGAAGAAAAAAGAAACTGTTGTCACTTTTGTTCAACATTTATTAATCCTTATCAACATTAGTATAGCTCACTGGCAGAGAATTCAACAGCAGATCGAGAGGTCAGCGGAGCAAAACCGTGTATAACTTATCACCTGAAACTGAAGCACGGACGCAAGCTTCAAAACAAAAAGCTTCAATCAATTTTTTTTTATTTTGAAAGTTTCAAATTTGGGTAGAAAAACTGAATTGTTGAATGAAATGAAAACGAAGAGAACGGGAACATTTTATGAAAAAAAATCTAAAAATTATTACTCATTATTACCGCTGCGGGGATATAGCTCAGTGGTAGAGCATTCGACTGCAGATCGAGAGGTCCTTGGTTCGAATCCGAGTGTCCCCTAACAAATTAAAGCTCGAACAAATTATTTATGCAAATCTATCAAATTTGGACAAATACCATGAATTCTAGAAAAAAGAAACTGAAAGGTTTTAAGACTGCTGTTAGATAAAACAAAATTGCAACTTCCACGAACGGGTCTGGCTCAGTGGTGAAGAATGCGAGTGCAGTTTAAAAGATTCGCTGATTGAATCCGTGCGTACCTTATCACCGCAAAATGCAACAAAAACGCGAGACATAAATCTAAAAAATTCGATCGAGATTTTTTGTTTTCGAAAGTACCAAACTTGGACAAAAAAATGTTTTCATGAAAAAAATGAAAACGAAGAAAAAGGAAACTGTTGTCACTTTTCTTCGACATTGATTAATCCTAACCAACATTACAATAGTATAGCTCACTGGCAGCGAATTCAACAGAAGACCGAGAGGTCAGTGGAAAAAATCGTGTGTAACTTATCACCTGAAACTGAAGCACGGACGCAAGCTTCAAAACAAAAAGCTTCAATCAATTTTTTTTAACTTGGAAAGTATTAAATTTGGACAGAAAAACTGAATTTTTGAACGAAGTGAAAACGGAGAGAAAGGTAACAAATTATGAAAAAATCTAAAAGTTATTACTCTTTAATACCGTTGCGGGGATATAGCTCAATGGTAGAGCATTCGAATGCAGATCGAGAGGTCCTTGGTTCGAATCCGAGTGTCCCCTAACAAATTGAAGCTCGAACTTATTATTTATGCAAATCTATCAAATTTGGACAAACACATTGAATTCTAAAAAAAAAACTGAAATGTTTTAAGACTGCTGTTAGATAATACAAAATTGCAACTTCCACTAACGGGTCTGGCTCAGTGGTGAAGAATGCGAGTGAGGTTTAAGAGATACGCTGATTGAATCCGTGTGTACCTTATCACCGCAAAGTGCAACACAAACGCAAGATATAAATCCAAACAATTCGATCGAACTTTTCTGATTTCGAAATTACCAAACTTGGACAAAAAATGAATTCATGAAAGAAATGAAAACGAAGAAAAAAAGAAACTGTTGTCGTTTTTGTTCTACATTTATTAATCCTAACCAACATTACATTAGTATAGCTCACTGGCAGCGAATTCAACAGAAGACCGAGAGGTCAGCGGAGCGAAATCGTGTGTAACTTATCACCTGAAACTGAAGCACGGGCGCAAGCTTCAAAACAAAAAGCTTCAAGCAAAATTTTTTAATTTGGAAAGTATTAAATTTGGACAGAAAAACTGAATTTTTGAACGAAGTGAAAACGAAGAGAAAGGTAACAAATTATGAAAAAATCTAAAAGTTATTACTCATTAATACCGTTGCGGGGATATAGCTCAGTGGTAGAGCATTCGACTGCAGATCGAGAGGTCCTTGGTTCGAATACGAGTGTCCCCTAACTTATTGCAGATCGAACTTCTTTTTTATACAAATCTAGCGAACTTGGACAAACACCTTGAAGTCTTGAAAAAAAGAAACTGAAAGGTTTTAAGACTGCTGTTAGATAAAACAAAATTGCAACTTCCACGAACGGGTCTGGCTCAGTGGTGAAGAATGCGAGTGCAGTTTAAAAGATTCGCTGATTGAATCCGTGCGTACCTTATCACCGCAAAGTGCAACAAAAACGCGAGACATAAATCTAAAAAATTCGATCGAGATTTTTTGTTTTCGAAAGTACCAAACTTGGACAAAAAAATGTTTTCATGAAAAAAATGAAAACGAAGAAAAAGGAAACTGTTGTCACTTTTCTTCGACATTGATTAATCCTAACCAACATTACAATAGTATAGCTCACTGGCAGCGAATTCAACAGAAGACCGAGAGGTCAGCGGAAAAAATCGTGTGTAACTTATCACCTGAAACTGAAGCACGGACGCAAGCTTCAAAACAAAAAGCTTCAATCAAATTTTTTTAACTTGGAAAGTATTAAATTTGGACAGAAAAACTGAATTTTTGAACGAAGTGAAAACGAAGAGAACGGGAACAATTTATGAAAAAAATCTAAAAGTTATTACTCTTTAATACCGTTGCGGGGATATAGCTCAGTGGTAGAGCATTCGACTGCAGATCGAGAGGTCCTTGGTTCGAATCCGAGTGTCCCCAAACAAATTGAAGCTCGAACTTAGTAATTATGCAAATCTATCAAATTTGGACAAACACCTTGAATTCTAATAAAAAAGAAACTGAAATGTTTT